CACTCAACCCCCCACGGGAAGCACAGAGGGGACCCTCACCGTGCTTCCCCACCGGTTTTTGGGGGGTCCATAACCACCCAGCCCAGGCCCAGGGCGGCGGGTCCCGGGCAGGGTGACATGGGGACTGTGACTCAAAGGCTGCAGAAGTGGGACAGGGAGGAGGTGGCAGCGGTGACTCAGACCCCCCTACCCGCCCCCAGGCGCTCCCCTCACTTGGCTGCTGCTCCCCACGGGGAGCAGGAGCCAGCCGGGATGCTCAGAGGATGCAGCTCCGAGGTTTCTGGGATTTTGGGTGCATTACAGAGCGTGTTCCCACAGGCCGGGAACCAGCTCCTCTCTGCTCCATCATCCCGGCAGCAGATAAGGATCGCGCTGTCAGAACACCCACCCAGCCTGTTCACACGCCTGCTGCTCTGCAGGGGTTTCAGTTCCAGACAGGTGAGGGCTTTGGAGCAGGGGGGGTTGGCTTCAAAACGGCTCTAAGTGAAGAACAGCATGGCTGGGCACCCGCTGCCCCTGGTGCTGAGCCCCCCAGGCAGGGTCTCCCCCCACCCCTCAGAGCTCCCATCACAGCACAGGAGGGGAAAACAGATTTTCCCCTGGGGCTGCACCCAGGCCAGCAGGGCAGCAAAGGTCCAAGGAAAATAAGGATCCCCTGACTTGCCTTTCTTTAAAAAATTCCTTCCTGTGTTTCAAGCATGTCCAGCTCCTTGTGGGAAAAGGTGTCTGGAGAGGAGGAAAAAAACATCAACCTGCTGAAACAAGTGGTAGGGAAGGGCTGAGGGCCTCTCTCCCTGAGACCACCCAGCAGGAGCAGCCCCTCTCCAACATGCCCTGGAGTGGATCCAGGGATGTGGGGCTCACCCCACACCTCTGTGGGGGGACAAACCCCTCCCCAGGCAGGTTATGGGGACACCAGCAATGGCTACAGGCCTCGCTGGGAGGAGCAGCCAGAGCTTGGCCACTGGGGAGGAACCGAGGGGCGTGTGTCCCTTCCAGCATCCCCCTGGGATGGCTGGGATCCCTGGCACAAATCCAGCTGCCAGCACTTCAGGTGCTGCAGCAAAGCACCTGGCCAAGGTCCCCACACACAGACCAGGGCCCCCCAAGCCCAGGCCCCCCGTGCTCACATCCCAGACCCATTTCACCATGACTCTTCCTGGTGACACCAGGGCGAGGAGGACAGGGCTTTGTGACACATGGTGCCACAGGGAGCAGAGCCCCAAGGCTGGGAGTAGCCAGGGCATCCCATGGGAATCACTTCTGCTCTACCAGGGGAAAATGAGGCTGTTCCTCTCCCTTGGACACTTGTTCCAAGCTGGTGGGGGAGACAAAGAACCCTGGGGGCAACCCCAGGTCTGAGGACACATTTCCTTGGACTGTATCATCATCTCCCAACCAAAACTAAAGCCTGACAGGAGAGCAGCAGAGCTCAGCCCAGCACCCAGGGCCCCTGCCACTAACAAGGTTAAAATTGAAAAATTCCATCAACTTTCAGGCACAAGATGCTCATTTCTTGACACTCCAAGCCCGACCCCCGGGGCTGCCCGGGTGTCAGCACTGAGCACAGACACCAGGCCAGACAGACCCAGCAGCTCCTGGAGAGAATTCAAAGAGCACGGTCCAAACAGAAACGTGTTTGGTACCAAAATAACCAAACCAGGAGCAGAACAAATGATGCTCACAACAAACAGCAGTGGTTTCCCCCCTCCGTTTTCCCAGAGGAGGAGATTTGCAAAGCTCTGAGCTCAGAGACTGCCTAAGCCCAGCTCAGGGAGCTGCAGGCACATGCTCAGTGGGCACCGCACAGAAGATAAACAGCACTCATATATATATATATATTTAATAAATGACCAAGTTGAAATTTCACAACATGCGATTGTTCAACAGCAGAGCTGCAACGAGGTCACTGCTCAATTCCAGACAGCCCAGGGGACTTCTCTGGGTTCAGCCTGTCTTGAAAATGGTGACTCTGCCCAAGCACTGGTAGGAAAACGCTGCTGTGGGGCCAGGCCTGGTGCAACCTCCCCTCACCCTCTCCACAGTAGGGCTGCGCTGCCCGGGGGGCACAGCACTGGATGCTCCCCTGCTCTGGGAAGTGAGGGGTGGTGGACCCTGCCTGGAGCCAAGGGAAGAGTGGGAGCATCATCTGGAGAGTGTTTGCAAGGATCCAGTGGTGCTGCAGGACACGTCTGGGGACCTGAGCAGCTTCTGTGCCAACAAGAAGTTACCTCTGACCACGGGTAACCTCACTCGTTTCTGTGGAACCCCCAAGGAGCATTTTCAGCAGCCATGGGGTGGGCAACATGAGGTCACTTCCCCCACGGAAAGGCAGCAGGAGGGATGGAGTTATCCAAGGATTTACCCCAATGGAAACTGGGAATGGCTGAAGCCTCCCCCAGTCCAGCTGGACACAGCTTCCCAGCAGTGGGGTTAAGCCTTGGTGGAACCACCGCCTGGCTCACAGATGGATTGTTCATGACAACGGGTGTTCACTGGGGAGGAACCAACATCCAGCGGCTCCATGCATGTGCCTCGAGATGGGAAACTGCCCATTGGGAAAGGTCCTGAACTCATAACTACACATGTAGCCACACAAGGCAGCAACACAGTTCTCCTCACCCCCAAAAAAGTGCTCCTTAGCACCCAAAAGGTAGACAGAAACTGGGGTCCAGCACTTCCGCAGCACTTTAGATACTCAAACACTCCGCAGACTAATTTATCCCTCTTCAGACCTATTGTTATTGGGGAAAACAAAATGATTTCTTTTTTGTACCCTCAGAGAGGGAGAAAATATTTGAGTTGAAAGAGCCCAGGTCAGAGGGAGCCCAGGTCAGAGGGAGCCCAGGTCAGAGGGAGGGGTGAAACAGGGCTCTGTACCCCAGCCTCCCCTCACGGTCACAGATGGATCACCACAGAGACTGGCACAGCAACACTGGGAAAGCACAAAAGCCACGTAGGTACCAAAACATACCATGGATGCCAAGAGTCCATCACACAAAGAGCCCAACACACCTAACGCTGCGTTATACAAAAATACTTTGCAAAGAATAAACATTCACTCAGCAAAACTGTTATCAAATTCCTATCGTCAGCCCAGTGACTAATAATCCAGCTGCAGAGCAAAGATTAGATTAAAAGAACTATTTTAAAAACCAGCTTCAAAGTAAATGGTAAATAGTCATTTTGCAAAAGAGAAGATCTCACTCCCAGGGACATCCCCACAGAGCCAGACAGTGTGACTGAGCTGGCAGCTCCCACACGCTCGTGCATGAAGGTTCTCAGGGTGTCTGCTGCAGGGACAGGGTGGCTTCTGCAGGACAGGGTGACTCCCACAGGGACAGGGTGACTCCTGCTCCCAGCCCAGACCAGGGGTGGCCACGGAGCAGCTGGCACGGGGCCGGGGCTGCTGCTGGTGCCAAGTGTGAGGACAGCGCGGTGTCATCCTCCTTGGCATCCATCAGCCAGGAGGGCTTCCCATCAGTGGAAATCAGGACTTCCCCCAGACTGCCTGGATGAGCCAAGCAAAGACCTCCCTGGGTGTCCCAAAAACGGGCACCCTTAAAAAAAATCAACCCAGCCCCAAAATAGGTCTCACTTCTTATGCTGCTGTTACTGAGTAAGATGCACGTGGGAGTGACTTTAATGAGAGTGGAGAGAGGGGTAATAAAAATGAAAGTGTGGTGGGGCCACATGCTCTTTAAGACTTTCGGGAAAACCTTTGAAGAGGAATTCATAATCCCTCCCTGCCACGTGTTTTCCTTGTTTTGGTGATCCACCAACTGAGGACCATTGGGATTGTGGCAGCCAGGAAAGCTCCTACAGGCTGGAGCCTGCAGGGCTGCCCCAGGGGGACACAGGCCGTGGGGCAGAAACACCCTCAGCACTGAGATAAAGCATCAAAAACAAATGCACATTAAAAAATGAAGCCATCTGAAATGGCTCTTAATTTTCACAAAAATAAAGTTCACATAAAAATTGGTCTCTGCTCCTGGTATCTCATCTGGTACCTCCCCCCCAGCAGCCAGGCAGAGATGCTACAGAACACTGAAGTATTTGTAAAAAAAACCCAAACAAACCAAAAACTAATCACGTTAAAAGGCGTCACCTCCCGGTGGTGCCCGTTTAAAAACCCAGCGTAGAAAAATACTGCAGAAAACTTCTTGATCCTGATGAAAACCCGACCCGAGGAGCCTTTGGGAGGGGCCAGTCCTACTTGAGCAGCACCCGGTGCTCCCCGCGCGCGATGTGCGAGGAGAACTCGTAGCGGTCGTGGCCGCGGTACCCGCAGACGTTGCACTCGAAGGGGTC